GGGGGCACCGAGCGCAGTGAACAGACAAACCCGGGGGGATTACTGTCACGCTCCTGGTGGGGAGGAGCGGCACGTGCACGTGGCCAAAATAGGGGTTCGGCGCCACCCGCTTTTTAAAAATTTAAGCGCTCTGATGAACAAGAGCGGCGATTCTAGCGGGTCACACCAGATTTATTGTTATTCATGTGCAGGATAAAGATCAGGCAGGCAAAGCAAAGCCTCGTTTAAAAGCGTGTGCGTGTGCTGGTGTGTGTGTGTGTGTGTGTGTGTGTGTGTGCGTGTGTGTGTGTACTCTTCTTTCTTTTTCGTGGTGAAGCCTGCAGGGGCACTTATCTGAAATACGTCGGCCTGTCCTCCACCGCGGTCCTCGCCAGCTCCTCGCCAGCAGCTGCGTGCGGTAATGAGCTGAAAATATGTTCTTTGCAACACACGCAGCGCTGGCGTTAATTCGAGGAGCACGGGCGCCATCCACTCGCGCTGTCAACACTTTTGCCGGCGTGAAGTCCGGGTGAGAAATGGAGGGATGAGCTTGTCTGCAATGAAGAGCGGCGAGAGTTTTACAACAAACGCAATTCTTTTGAAGTGAGTGAATGTGGATTCGTCCCCAGCTGTGACATTGTTCAACGTGGCGACCAATCGCTGCCCGTGTAGTGGTGTCGGGATGACATCGTGTGTCCAGACATCCTGAGACACGCGCATCGATATCGTGTCGGGGTTAATCTAGAATATTGATACATCATGATTCATGACTTAGTGAAGCCGTCTAAATGAAAAACCTCAAACCTCAGAAAAACCACGCAATGTAATAATAACCGGCGTATAGTTGGAATCACTCGTTTCTTTCACTGGTACTCAAATCGACGCCGCGGTTGTTCCGTCACTTAGGAACCTGGTGAATAAACATGCTAATCGTAGATCCAAACTCTTCGGCGGGCGCACATTGTGACAAAATGTCCCGATGTTTGTCACAGTTTCTCTGAAATATGTTCCTCTTTTGTTGTGAAGGATCTAACTGTGGATTTGCAGAAAAAAAATGCACAAATAAATAAATCATGTAAAGAATAGGGCGGTCAACATAAACGCGTTAATCTATGCGATTAATGTGGCTGAGATTAATGCAAAATATTTTAACTTACTTAACGTACGTTTGTTTACTTTGACCACGGAAACAAAACGGCCGCTAGCTGCAGTCAGTTACATCACGATGCAGAGAGCGGAGAACCGTGCAGAGGAATTACTCCTTCAAACAGAAGGGAGGTGAGGGGCATGCGGACCGCATAAAGCACCGCTATGCTAAGCTCGCTGCTAGGCTAAGCTAGGCGCTAGGCTACCTCCATCTCAACATCTACAGTTACCCTGAGCGGTCTGCAGAGGACCACCACTGTGTCCCTAAAGGACCGTGGTTTGAAAACGCCCCGCTAAATGTGGGGAGAATGTTGGACAAACACAGCCGTTAAATGATGAAGAGCTGAGAGCAAAGTGCACGAGGACAACAGGAAGAGTCGCGATAAAAAAAAAAATCATTAATCGCCATTAATCGAGATTAATGAATTTCAAAATGTTCGATTGATTAGTTAATTGTTTTTATTGACAGCCCTAGTAAAGAAACATCAGGGTGTGATTCATCAGACATGGAAACCTGTCATTTTAGATCTATTTATATTTCACATTATTTAGTTACTGATTCATTCTTCTCTTGTTTCATGTGCCAGAGTTCTGGAGTTGTAAAAATTAATTAGTCAGCATTTTGCATTTTGCATTTTGCATGTGCATGTTTATTTTTAATGGGATTTGGGTTAAACCCCTGAAATAGATTGGAATGTTTGTTCTACAACATAAAAAATGTTGTGAAGCTGAATTCCTAACATCACTGTGGGAATGCACGCAGTCATGTGACCGCGGCTTCGTGAGGGATCGAATGTTTGCTATCCCGCTTAAAAAATATCGTCAAATCGGATCGTGGCCTTTTCAAATGAAACCTCCGTACTTCACAGGTAGGTCCGTACTTCTCCGCTATCTTTAGGAAAAAGGCCGTTGTCTGGGTCAAAGTAACAGCAGTGGTTATGAATAATATAAATAATAATATAAATTATATTATATAAATAATATAAATGACATCAACGCTGACCTCTCGTTCATGTTTACGACAACAGCCTCTGTGGTATTTTATTGTGAAATGTTACCATACATTATTTACTACTTCTTACACGGGCTTCTTTTGTTTTGGCAGATGAATGGTTGGGTGCTCTGGTCATCTGTCCATTGTCAAGCACATATGTCATATCCACCCCCCCCCACACACACACACATGGGGGGGGGGGGGTTATGCTATGAGTCATTCACAAAGCCTGTGGATGAAACCTCCTCCATCACGATGCACTACACAGTGCGCTAAAAGCATTCGCACAGGTCCCCGAGCTGCTCGTAAGGTCGGCTAATTAATGGAGGTGGTGTGGGGGGGCGGCGGGGAGGGGCGGGGTGGGAGGTGGGGGGGGGGCACTCGCCATCACAATCCGATTTGCTGAAGTCCTCCCGGCTAACTAACACACAGCTGCACCCACTTATCGCATAAGGTCCGGCGGAGCGTGAAGTTACCTATCAAAACAGCAGCCCGGTCTCCCACTAATGGGGCCTGTGGACCATTGCGTGGGTCGGGGGGGGGGCAGCACCTGAAGGTCCATTAATACCATGTCTAATACTTGAGGTTGTGATGCAGGTGGGCCCCCAATCAGGCGCCTTGGAGACAACTTGCAGGTTTTCTTTGCTCCGAAGCCGCATCTCATAAAACACCAGTTTCAGAGGGGGAGAAAAGAAAGAAAGAGTTTATCACCCCCCCCCCCCCCCCCAAGAGTTATGTATTCCAGTGCCCACTTGTTCCTTATCTGTCTATCTTTCACATTTCCGTGTGAGCCGGGTCCTGAGCTCACAGCGGAGACATAATTAGAAGGGTGACAGATGGATTACGATCAAAACGGAGAGCGCGGCGAGTCGTCGTCATAGCCGCACCTGCTTTGTCTCCTGCGCAGACAGCCAGGAGAGGTACGCACTGTGTCTGCCTGAACGCCGCCGGTAGAATTACAAAATGCCCCCCCCCCCCCCCCTCTCGTCGTACGTTCTGCCAAACGGTAATGAGGAAAAGTGTAGATAGCAGGTGATTTTTAAAGCAGATGGTGCAAATTGAGACGCCACCCGCCTCCCTCGTCGGCAGCTCACTGACCTTCGTGTAGCGAACATCGGCCCCTACATCGATCCAACGTCAGCACCTCGACCCCTCGCAGAAGGTGCACGACCCCAAACGGGGCTTTGCTTTGGAACGGATCAACATAACCGCAGAAACTCACATGCTCAGGATGGAAGAAAAATGGAATTCATCCTGTGTGTGTGTGCGTGAGGGGAAGATCCAAACCAAAGTGTCTTAGACTAAATCCGACAGCCTCCCTTCCTTGGAGGGTGGAGGGGGGGGGGGGACCCCTTCTTCCTGGGGGTCAGTCAGTGAATTAAATCCCGATGAGGGCCCCCATTTTTCAAAAGTAACCTTTTCCTCTGACAGCTTAAGTGGGAATCGGTGCTCCAGGAATCCAACCGTCGACATCAGGGACTCAGGTTGTCATGTCTCTCTGTGTGTGTGTGTGTGTGTGTGTGTGAGTGTGTGTGTGTGTGTGTGTGTGTGTGCGCGCTCGCAGCAAAGGAGGTCATCTGCCCCCCCCTCACATCCCCCGTGTCTCTCCCCTCTTCTCACACACTGTCCCTCAAATACATATCTCATGAATTTTGGCCTTGACGTGCGTTCTGTGCGCCCACGCTGGCGCCCGAGTGAATGTTCCCGCGACATGGCCGCGGCTAATGGAAATACGCAGACAACATGGCGGGATTAGGCCGGAATTAATACTCTATCCCGCTTAATTAATTAGAAATGTGTCCGTCCAGGCCCGTAATGTCAATAGGACATGATTCAATTAGAGCCACATCGCCTTTCCTAATCTTTTAATTGAACAGAAAGGAAGGGAACGGCCATGTTTGGTGAAACTGGATTTCTCCGGGTCATAATCATCTCTCAGGACAAAGCAACTCTCAGAGGCTGATTATTACTCCGCCACCAAGCAACTTCACGGACTCACATAATCCCTTTCTGGCTTGACTGTTATCGCAGGGTGCTCCAGTGATTTATTCCTATCTTCGATTTGGGTCCCAGCAGGGAGGCTGATGTGTGTCGGGCGGCTGAGGAGGTCAGCCCCGAGTGCGCGGGCCCCTAACTCGCTGGATGAGCCAAACGCTTTCTTAATTGTTTAATACCACATTCCAATTAGTACTCCACCTATTTTTTTTTCTTAATTAATGTCCCACAAATTGCAGAGTGAGTCCCCGGCGGTGGAGCACGCCCCTCTGCAAGCAAATTATCATCATCTGCTTGTTTGGAGAAAAATAAATAAATAACAAAACGAAAAAAACACCATCTGTGCAATTAAACGGTTTGGCGATGACGGGGTTTTGTTCCGCGGAAGATGTGGGGGTTTCCTCGCTCCTCAAAAGATGCAGTTGATTCTCAGCAGACTGTGTTGCGCGCACGAGGCAGGGGTGTCTTCTGGAGAAGGGGTTGCCTGGGAGACCAGGGCCTCTTTAATGGTGCACCAGCAATGCATCCAAAAAAACCATCCCAGGAATAATAAAAGCCACTTTTTTCTCTCTCTCTCTCTTTTAATACCACGATGTCTGGAACACATGCGCGCGCGGGCGTGTGTGTGACTGTGTGGGCTGGGACGGCGAGAAGGAGGGAGGGGAGGTGAGGGAAGGGCAGGTAGAGAGGTAGAGAGAGAGAGAGAGACCACAACTTCCTGTGTCTCCCCCCCCTGCAGAGTGACGTTTTGCAAGGAGAAAAAGGGGGGCTGCAAACTGTGCGCACTCAGTGAATCCGTCGCTGTGACTCATTTTGTATAAAACCGCGAGTGGTCGCGGTCACCGGGAGAGCGAGCCGCGGCTTTAATTAGCTGCCGTTCGCGTGCGCGTGAGGTTCTTTCTCCCCCCTCCGGGGCGCACACTGCTCATTACCTCCCCTTTTCCTCCGTTCCCGTTTTTGTTTAGGAGGTTTGCGGAGATGATGACACGCGCCCCCGGGGGACCGACACCGCCGCGGACCGAGCCGCCCCCCCCACCTCGCGTGCGCCCCCGCGGAGTTCGTCCGAGACGAGGGAGAATGTCACCCACTTCTGCCGGCCCCAACGTCTAAGTGTTCGTGGGAGAATCCTCGTCCTCGTTCCCCGCGTCTCCGTGTCTTTGGAGCCGCGGCAGATCCCGCTTCACGGGGTGTTTTCTTTCGGACTAAATTAGGGGCCCGGTCGTCTGCTCTCGTCTCTGTCGGACTCGTGGATGTATAGCTGCCCGTCTCTCTCCGCAGGGGGGACCCGATCACCGCCAGGAGCCGTCGCTATTCAACAAGCTGCCGGCCGCAGGGCGGTGGACGGGCGCAGCTCGCCTGAAGCCTCCACTGCGTCTCGCTCCTCCAGCTCAGCTTGTTGAGTCTCCAAAAGAAAAAGAAAAAAAGACCCCCACCCGCCTCCCACCCTCGTGCTATTTATCTCCTCCCAGCAGATTCTCAGACTTCCCCCAATATTTTCCCCCCGTGCCACCGGCAAAAAGTTATCCGGATCATGGCTCGTCCTGGTTCGCGCGTAAGGCTGAGCGCCGTGTGGAGCGCGCTGTGGCTCATGAGGACCGTGGTGGATTTCGCGCTGCCCCAGGAGACTTACGCGCCCCACTCGATACGGACCGAGGGCCACTTGACCCTCGGAGGACTCTTCCCGGTGCACTCCAGAGGCGCCGACGGCGCGCCGTGCGGGGACCTGAAGAAGGAGAACGGCATCCAGCGGCTGGAGGCCATGATGTACGCGCTGGACCAGATCAACCTGGACGAGCTGCTGCTGCCCAACATCACGCTGGGCGCGCGGGTGCTGGACACTTGCTCGAGGGACACCTACGCGCTGGAGCAGTCCTTAACTTTCGTCCAGGCCCTGATCACCAAGGACACCTCCGACGTGCGGTGCACCAACGGGGAGGCGCCGGTGTTCGTGAAGCCGGAGAAAGTGGTCGGGGTCGTCGGAGCCTCGGCGAGCTCCGTGTCGATCATGGTGGCCAACATCCTGCGCCTCTTTCAGGCAAGTCTTCCCGGCCGGCTGCGATAGTTCTGTGTATGTCTTTTTGTTGGGTGTGTTCAACAGTGTGTCCGCCCAGTCGACCAGTAACAGGAAGCAGGTGAGAAGAAGCTGTAAAACTAAAAAAGGAACAGAAAATCAACGCTCTGCTTTTTGTGCCTCTTTCTAAATTTGTATAGCTCAATGTGTTGCATGTCATGATTATGATATCGATTCATACTACTCTCCATCGTCATTATAATACAATGAATTGAAGTGTTGAATTTGGGTGCCACCCCCCCCCCCCCCCCCCACACTACATGCTGTGTGGATGAGACGGTGCAGTGTGCTGTTGCTTGTCCCCGGTGGTGCTGAAAGAACAGCTCCCTTCTGTTCCCGTCTCACTCCGGAGTCTGGATGAGTGGGCACTGACAGCCTGACACAATCGCACCCCAAACGCAGCAACCCTCCTGCTGCCCCCCCCCCCCCCCCCACTTGAGAATTACAGGCCTGCTTCATGCAATTACACATGATTAAATGAGCCCCGCTGGGCGTGGAGGGACTGCAGGCATGTTTGGGGTTTTAGGAATTGTTGTGAAGCTTGAAATCTGTGATTTATGGAGGAGTTGACTTGCTTTTCCTCAACAAGGGGTGCCCCATCTCTCCCTCACACCCCCCCCCCCCCTCTCTCTCCCTCCCCCTTCAAAATGAGCTTCTATCAAACACTTTGCATCCTAGTTGAGGAAACCAAATGAAGCTGCAAGTGCCGACTTCCAGATGAGTTCTCCTGGTGTGATGGAGAGCACGTCTCCCTTACACTTCATTTTACATTTCATTTAGCTCCGCGTGGTTCGCCCGGTGCTGCAGCGGAAGCGGAGGAAACGCAGCGGGGGCGGCCAATGTGGCAGATAAAATATAAAATATTTAAAACTTCACCTCCGTGGACAAAATATTGAATTACTCGAAGTAACCGTGTAGATGCGCGAGTGTGCATCCACACGGTGCGGATTCGTGTGGCGGGGGACAAGTAGGCCGAGGCTCGTTGGCCGGATGATCAGCGGCTGCAGTTAGTCACTTACAGTCCTGTCATGTTTTGTTTCAGTTCAATTAGACAAGAAAACATAAAACGTGGGGCTTGGCTGTAAGTAGCTGTCTAACTGTAAGACCATCAAAGCACTTAACATGCTTTTAGCAACCCCCCCCCCCCCCCCCCCCCCCCCCTCATCCCTCTTCCTTTTTTCCGTTCCGCACGCACTTATCCCTGCACTGACAGACCCAACCGCACCCTCCATCCTGGCTTTGATTCTTGTTTTCTCTTTTGTAGGCCGAGTTGACTTGTTCATTTCTCTTAGTTTGAGTCGGTAAAACCCTGCAGTGATAACGCAGAGTTTGAGGGCTCTAATGTCTAATGCATTTGGGGAATTCACAGGCTTTAAGGGGATGGAGGGATGGGTTTCCCAATTCCTTTTGTCCTCACACCCGCCTGTGAGTGAGTGTGGGTGGTGTGGGTGGCGCAGTCAGCTTATGTGCCGCGTGTCGGAACAGCAGTCGTCATGAAGCTCTGCATTTGTGCTCATTTCCCTGAAGCGTTTCCTGAAAGGTGGTTTCCATCGTCTCCCTGCAGTGCACTTTATTTCTTCTTCCTCCTCCTCCTCCTCCTCTGCTACGGCACCTGTGGTGCCGCTGAAAGGGTCGATAACAATTGAGGATGCACTAAACAACGGCGTATAATGGATCCTCAACAGAAATGAGGGCTCCCGGCCCGTCCGCCCTCGTTAGTGCTCACAGCCTCTGATGGGTGCGCCGCCGCCCCCGCTCCCAACAACGCCGTCCATCAAGCAACCTCGATGCCCCACGCGACACCTGCTCGTTGTGATGAAGGAAGCGGGGAGGGTTTCTTTTCCTGAAGCCCAACAATCGGGTGCTTGTGAGTCCTTGAGTAACGTTTGATTGTGGCATGTGGGCCCGAGTGACGCACGTGGAGCTTTGGGTCGGTGACCTCGTCCCCGAGCCGTCTTGCTGCGCCCCCCCCCCCCCCCCCCCACTCTTTTTATTCTTAGAGAGTATCAACAGGTCGTTTTGTGACCCCCCCCCTGTGATAAATGAATCATCGGGGCAGCTGAGTAGTGATTGTCGATGTTATTGCCGTGCGCTAAATATCACGGCTGTCAGGACTCGAGCGGCTGCTGAACTGTTGATGTCGGGGAATTGACGCGAGGGATGGATTTCTCTTTTTTTTTTTCTTTCTGAAGGGGACCCGGGAGGGTTGATCGATACCGTTGCCATGGTGAGGCCGGTTTGCCGCTAAGATGTTTTTATTTCACCGCCTTTCATGTCGTGTTGGAAATGAGAAGCAACAATGCCACATGAGGGTGGGCGGGGGAAAATAAACGGGAAGTTGGGAAGTTGTGCTTCAACAGTCCTCCAATCCTGACTGTGACCGGACTCCCCCGCTCATAAGTCCCGGCCTTTCACAATAATGGCATCCCCCCCCCCCCCCCTCATCTAACCCACCACCCCCCCCACCTCAGACTACTACTCTACTACTGACATCCTGCGCTCGGCTCCTTTCTCGTCACTCACAGAATCAGCAGCGTGATTCGCGTGAAGGAGATTGAAGCCTTGCAGTGGGATCTATCCCGCCGACTGTGGTGGAGATAGACTCCATGGGAGTGAGTGTGTGTGTGTGTGTGTGTGTGTGTGTGTGTGCGTGCGCGCGTTACGTAACGAGCTCTCAGAGTGACAGAAAACGGTGGCCTTTTCTAAACCCCTTTGCCGTTGGAACGTCGATGCCTGGCGGAGCGCGGGTCTGCTTGTCACATCTCCAGCGCTGTTCTCGGCCCCATCATGGAGACACGGCTGGTATGTCAAGTACGCGCCGTATGATTAGATGCGCACACATACATTAACATACATGCGCATACAAAGAGCTCCATTACCGCTGCTGGAGGAGTGAAAACACAACTGTCTCGTGGAAATTTAATGATCCACACCAGTGGCTTTTCCGCTCTTTCCTCCATCGCTCGCTAATTGGCCTTTATTCAGAGTGTGATACAAAAGATCCGGCTCAGTACGGTACGACTTTATAACGAGCGCGTGAAACGTAGACAGCCGAGTTAGTAAGTTGGACGCTTAATTCAGCTTTTTCTGCCAAACTTCCCCCCAAACTAAGTTCAGCCTCTCGGTCAACGAGTGATTAAAATCATTGAAAACCGCTGGATTTTCTTGTTGTTGTTGATGTTTTCTAACTGCCTGTGAAATCTTCTGTTATTGCACGTTAAACGTGGCTGCTGTATAGACTTAATCGTTGATCAAATATGTTTTGCAAGAACAGAAAAGATTACGGAAGGCTTAGTGGGATTTACCTCTTAACAGAGAATTCACTCTTTATAGGTGGGAAATATTCACAATAGAACAACTTCTAAAATCTGCCTTTTGATTTAAGCTTAATTTCATCCCAACACACAAACGGGAGACTGACTTTAGGCACTTTATCGCACCTGCGATAGCATTAGCATTAGCTAACAGAGATCTGAGGCGCGAGGACGTCTCCTGGTCGCTCACTTCCACGGCAAGTATGAAATCTCTCTGAAGGAAAACCCTCTTTCTCAACACTATGAACCCATTTACCTTTTTACTGGAACAAAAATGCTCACAGACCTTTTGAAAAACAACTGATAAATCATCAGTTAAACATATTTGTGCTGTTTTTTCTAGATTGATCTGAAATGATCAATTACATTGATCCCCAACAATCTTCTGTCTTCGACTTTTTGTTTTTCCCGCTGAATCAGATTCTCATCCTGTAAATACCTTTCACAGCTTTTTTTTCTGCTTTTCTCTGAAAGCAATGTGATGCTATGAACGCTAACAGAGTAGTGGGAGGAGGCGGGGCCTAGCGACGGGTCACTGATCCCACCAGAGGTCCCCAGGTCACACTTGTCTCGTGCCAATCGGGCTCATGGGGCGGTTGCTGTTGTCTCCATTGGGTGGGGGGGGGGGGTGTCTAAATCGCGTTGTTGTACTGGGGGAGGGTAAAACGTTAAATGTCGTCAAATAAGAACGTGAAAATGAATAAAAGAGAGGGAAAGGAAGGATGGATGAGCAGTGGGTGTTGAGGAGCTTCCTGTGAGCATGATGGACCTTCATGACTCTGCGTGTGCTGAGTACATTACCTGCAGTCCTCTGGTCCTCGGGGCCGAGAGCCCCGCTGCCTTCCAGCCCATCAGACTTATGGCCCGATCGCAACGTAATTGACAGAGTGAAATCTACTCAAAACAACATGGGCGGGGCTACCCAGCATCAGCTGTGTGTGTGTGTTAGCTGATAAATACACACTTTGTCATTGATTACATTATAGTCCTTTTTATCCCTTTCCCCGCTCTAATGGACAACAGAACAGAAACAGTAACAGGGAACGAGGATGCAAACAGTCGATACGAACTCGGGGAGAAGTCAATCCCACCTGCGCTCCCAAACGCCGTCTCGCCGCCTCCCGAGTCAGCGACGTTGACTAAGCGGAGGAGTCGAGATCCATTGCTGCGAATTTCGGCGCGAAGACTGTCGTGAAACTGGGCTGCGGGGCGGGGGGGGGGGGGGGGGGGGGGAAAGGATCCGGGGGGACAGGGGGGGGCCTAAAAATTGAAAAGGGGGGGGGAAACGATTTCCCCCGGAAATTTTCCCAATTTTTCCCCCATGGGATTTAAAAAAGGGAAGCGGGGACCGCTAATTTTTTTTGGGGGGGGGAATTGCCCCTGGGAAAATTCCTACCACACCGGTGTTTTAAAATCCCGGCCTCCTCTGGCCCACTGTGTGGAGGGCCGGGGTCAGGGGTCAGGTTTAGTGAAGCAGGTGTTATTCATTCTATTAATGCTGCATCGGTTGTTCACACACAAACACTGCGCGGCGTGAACAACCGATGCAGCATTAACAGAATAAATCAAATATCCTCGTGTCAAACAAGTTGTCATTGCGGCTGACGTGAGGTCATCAGGTCAGCAGCCCCCCCCCCCCCTCCGGGGGGA